TGTCATTCCACCCATAGTGTGGCAATTTCTGGGCACATAATGTTTTTTTTTTTCAATTTCTTTTCTTTTGGTAATTTCAGCTATGCCTCATTAGAGCAATAAATGGTATTTGCTTGTCCAAATTGAATTTGAATCGAATATGATCAAGGCAATTCCATCATCTTTTAATTGGATCAAGTATGGGTCCACCCCAATCCAATCTAATGTCTATATTACCCAGAAAAAAAAGGGAAAATTTCACTTTAGTACATTGCACTTTGTGGGTAGTGTTAATTTAGTATCCGAACTTTTAAATGAGTCACTGCAGTATTTAAATTTTCAAAAAGTGTTAAAAATGTCAAAATTATCATTCAAAAGAAGACATTGTTCATTGTCTTCTACCTTGAGACTGAACTAGTTGAGGTGTTTGAGATTCTAAACTAATGAAGTCATTGTCTTCTACCATTAGATTTGAAACACATTGTTGTTTAGTTAACTCTTTGCTTTCATTTATTGTTTCCCTCTATCATATTTCATGTTTTTTCTCTATTTCTCTTTGAAAATAATTGGTTCAGTCTCAAGGTAGAAGACAATGAACAATATCTTCTTTTGAAGAGTAATTTTGACATTTTCAACAAATAATTAACGGTCGGTTAATGGCAGGGACCAATTTAACACTTTTTGAAAGTTTAGATACTGCAGTGAGATGTTTGAATGTTTGGATACTAATTTGACATTACCCCAAAGTTCAGGGTACTAAATTAAAATTTTTCCAAAAATAAATTGAAAAATAACGTTGTATTTACACCATTACAATAAAGTCATAAGTTCAAGATTCATACAAGTCATTTTGGAAAACATTGTATACTATATTGTGGTTACTTTAAATTCTCACACTTGACAGCCTTGGGTTTTACTTTTACCATTACACCAACTAATTTCAGATTCAATTTACATCAAATCCAGGCATCTACCAACCAAGCAGGCTGTCATGGATAAGTGTAGGTGGGTAGAAGCATTAAACATGGTATTCAAAACAGAGCCATTAACAGTTAATAAAAGCATTACAATGGTGGGCAATTTAATAGAGTTTGAAAAACGTTGGGAGCCAGACTCCCTTAAATGAATCGAGCATCCCATATACTACCCCTTGTGAATTGGGAACATCTCCCCTGTATAATACTATGCAGAGGATGAGATGTTCTCCATATATGGCCATGATAAATGTAGACAGAGTTCTCATGGGCAAGAGATCCGAACTCTTTTTATTCATGTACTTATATCTCTTTCCCACAAAATTTCCCCACATCCCTTATCCACGGGATACTTACTATATGCGTACATCGAGAATATCCAATGGAAAAATGTTCCAAATACATGGCAATTGTGTCTCTTGGGTAAGAACATGGGAAAAGTTTATGGGTTGGAGATTGGGAGTGGGTGTTCATACAAATATTCGGACACGATGGAAAAATTTCAGTAGTGCTACAAATTTCGGATTAGATTGGATCTAAAAATATGATGTATTTATTAAGGGGTTTGAATTTGGACATCACTTGATCTTATATGCTGATTATACATGTATAGAATTGAATCGATCGGAGATTCAATTATATCATTAGGCATCAAATCAAATTCGGATATCTCAAATTCTTATCAGATTATATTCAGATAACCCCTTTCCAAATTCATTCCAGTCCTAGATTTCAGTCCATGAAATCATGAAGTGGAAAAATGTTCATTTTGATATAAAATGGAGCTAATTTGAGATGACTTCAATGTAACTTGGTAAAGGGCAATAGGATACACAGGTTCAGAAAAGGGATTTTGATTTTGCTACCAACAGAGCGCTTCCAACACAACCCCACATCACATTGCAGCCATGCATTTGGGAACATCTCCCTGTAAGGCTGCATTTGTTTCCGAAGCAAACGCAAATATTTGCTCTACATGTATACCTTCTCTTCGGTATATGGATGCAAATGGTTCAAACCCATTTTGCCCTTGAAAGGCTGTACTGCAGGCTCTTTTTCTCTCTCACTCTCTCTCCCTCTCACTTAATGAGTAAAGCAATCCTTTTTGACTGAGATTCAAAAATACAATTTTGTATGCATTAAATGGATGCGGTACAATGAACTCTCCTCGCAATGCAAAACTGTAAGAAAATAAAATTTTGGAAAAAGTGCGGATAGGTCTAATGTTATTTCTCATTTCCACTGCAAAGTTATAAATATTCAAAATGTCAATAATTCACACTCTATGTACTAATACTTTCCCGTGAATTAACATTAATTTCGAACTGACACCTACCCCAACATTACTTTGGACCTACAAATTCTGACCCTGGGTTGAACTGTCATTCTCCCTAAAATTTTTCCTTCTTAGTCATTGCACTTTTGTATGACAAACAAATGCGCACAAATCCGAATCATAGAATACATTTGTATTGCAAACAAATGCAGCCTAAATGAGAATATATTGATGTATGGCTACAATGTGCTGTAGGATTGGCGTGAGGAGCACTTTCTGAGTTTGACAAAAAGGCTGTTGTGAGCTCCAATCAAGGACGTTTGGGACTGGTGCGTTTCACAACCGTTCCGTTTCTGTTGAGGTGTCATGTGTGCCACATCAGCTAATAAATGGAATTGGTAAAAAAACAGTATTTTGGTAGCCCTGTTTAAAAAAAAAAAAACATTTTTATAATAATTAGCTTTGAAATTCAGAAAAGGAAGGGTTTCTTGAAACACCAGATTTTTGTTTCTTAAATCACCTGGGTGATCTTGCATCACCTTGGTGACATGGTACATTAAAATTTGAAAAAGCTAATTACTTTTTGAAATGTCACACAATTATCATTATAAATATGTTATAATATTAAGCCAAATCACTTTAAATGTCTAATCAACCTGCATTCCGTCTTTTTTGTATTTCTCAAAAAAAAAAAAAAAAACAGATGAAACAAATCACTTGTAAATCAAGACTCACGGTCATGAAACACATTGATCCCAAGCATCCCCAATATAATCCTAACCCTTACTCTCAAGAACCCCAACTCATTACCCTTTGAAATTTAAAAAAAAAGGGAGAAATCTATGATATGGAAAAGACATAATATTGTAAAAATTTCAAAATAACACCTAATTGCTACCACGTTTATAGTTATAATTGACTGGTTAGACGTTTTTCTGATCTTTTCCATAATAAAAATAGTCGAACAAAACGAAAGAGAAGGAAAAAGAGAGGACTACATTAAAAGATCCCACACTCCACTCCGGCCAAATTCCAAATGGAATCCAGTAGTAGACAGTGACAAATGACAACCCATGAAAACTGGCCGCTGGACAGATATTGGAGTCAGCAATCACCCCTATTACGTATAATCAGAAAGTCAGAGAAACTCAGCCACACAGGGAAGGAGTCTTAAATCTCAAGAAGCAACCGAGTCCTCCATAAAGAGCCCCAACGCGGTAGAGATTAATGCTATTAATGTAGTAGTCCTCCGGTGCCACATCATGTTTTTGTCACTGTCACCTTATATCCTTGTTGGCAGCAATGGCTTGGAGCACCATTTTTTATGGAAAATCAATTTCAAATAAACAGGTATTTTCTGGAGTACCGTTTTTTCTGATGTGGTGCTGATGTGTTATCATTTTCTAGAGCAATGGCATTAATGCCAATTAGACACTAAGTATATGTTTGACATTGATGATGCAGTTGCATCACCGTTTTCTCAGCTCTGGTACCCATTATCCAGTGCCACATCACTGCCTTGTTGGTAGCAACGAGCAGCAACGACAGGAAATGCCAAATTTAACATTGCTCCAAGCCATGGTTTTCCAATTTCCGAGGCATGGCTTAGAACACATTTTTTATGGAAAAGAGGTTCCAAACAAATGTTCATTTCCTGGAGTACCGTTTTTTCCAATATGGCACTAATGACACTGTTGCTCAAGGAAACGACAATGATACCAAACAGCTTCTCAATTAACAACAACAGTATTTATTTGGATGAACATAATTATCTTTGATAAATCAATATGCAATTAATTGCTCGGTGCCACTTTTTGTTTAACATAACAAGATTTTAGTTCCTAACTGTTGTATTGCCCACACATTTTAATTTTGCGTTTAAAGCCATCTAAATCAGTAAATAACTTTGAAGTTTGGACATTGTTGCAGATGTATTCTACCGTTCTACCATATTTTGGTTAAATAGGGGGTTGTTTGGAAAGTTTTTATAAGTAGATTTTTCAACAGTCTAATAAATAAAAAGATGCATTAAGCTTTTGGGATCTTGTCTTTAAAGATTAAGATTGTTTCATTCACTAGACTATTAAAAACAGTTGGAAAAGTTATTTTTAGTCTTTTTAGTCTTTTGAGCTTTTGCAGATTAAAAGACCTAACAAGACCGCCAAACATCACCTAGAATAATATATATCTATAGGTGTGGGCATTATTCGGTTAAAACAAAAAAAAATGAATAAAAAATTTCGGTTTTTGGTTAAATCGGTTCGATTAATTTGGTTTTTGATTTTGTTTTTTAGAATTTAAAATTCGATAACCGAATTAACTGACGTTTCCATTATTATACATAATATATAATATATAAGATATAAGATATAATATATTATATATTTATATATTAATATATAATAAAATAAAATCTAATTTCATAATATATAATATACATCATATGTTATAATATATATAATAGAATATATATTATTAAAATTTGATTTTAACAGAAATAATCGAAAACTGAACCGAAAATTTTGATTTCGGTTATTTCGGTTTTTTATAATTTGATTTCAATTCAATTTTTATGCGCTACATTTTAAAAGCTTTATCTCAGTACTCTCAGTCTTGTATTGGAAACCATGAATAATATTAAATTTCGTGGAGCGTGGAGGGATATAGGTTGTGCAGGCGTCACGTTTTTACCAAACACGCCCTATATATGTCTTGTGTCAATGAGTGCGAGTGTCTCAGGACTCAGGCATTTGTGCGTGCAAGCTCATATATATAGAATTGTGGATTAAGCTGTTGATATAGCTCAATTAAACTGATAATCCTGCACTCTTGTTTCCTGTTGATCAGCCATCGTGAAGTATAAGAGGGTAGACATTCAACAATCAACACCCTTCAACCGCACCATTTTTGACACCTTTTCTAGAACTAGAACCATGCTAGCTAATCGCTCTTGAATACCCAGTTTTCTTCTTCTTCAACATGGACTGGTTTCTGGTTCTTCTCCTCCTCCAAATGGCTTCAGCGGAAGGTGCTTTTGGTGTTGGTATAGGCACAAGGAGTGGTGGCGGTGGCGGTGGCGGTGGTGGTGGCGGTGGTGGTGGAGCTGTTTGGGTTGGTGGAGGAATCAACCCTCGCATCCCACCATATGGATATGGGTCCTCAAATTCAAGGCTAAGAGATGCTTACACAGCACTTCAAGCCTGGAAATCTGCAATAACAGATGACCCATCAGGCATACTAAACAGTTGGGTGGGCACCAATGTGTGTTCTTATAAAGGGGTATTTTGTGTAGATTCTCAAGAAGAAATACCCGGACCATCAGACCTTGTTATTGCAGGAATAGATCTCAACCATGCCAACCTCCAAGGCACTCTAGTCAAGGAAATCTCACTCCTCTCAGACCTCTCCCTCCTTCACCTCAACAGTAACAGATTCACAGGCACAGTTCCTGATTCCTTTGCGAATCTTTTATCTCTCACAGAGCTGGACCTCAGTAACAACAACTTCTCTGGCCGCTTCCCGACAGTTACTCTTCTCATTCCAAACCTCATTTACTTGGACCTGAGATTTAACCTTTTCTCAGGACCCATACCGGAAGAGCTTTTCAGCAAGAGATTGGATGCTATCTTTCTCAACAACAACCGGTTTGAGGGCCAGATTCCTCAAAATTTAGGAAATTCGCCAGCTTCTGTGATAAACTTAGCAAATAACAACTTGAGCGGAAGAATTCCGCCCAGTTTTGGCTACATGGGTCCTTCATTAAAGGAAGTGTTGTTCCTAAATAACGAGTTAACAGGTTGCGTCCCCGAGGGTGTTGGATTTTTGACACAAATGGAAGTCATGGACGTGAGCTTCAATTCACTGACGGGTCATTTGCCTGATTCATTATCTTGCTTGAATGAAATTGAGGTTCTCAATCTTGCTCATAACAAGCTATCTGGGACACTTCCCGACCTGGTTTGTTCTCTGAGAAGCCTTCTTAATCTCTCTGTTTCGTACAATTTCTTTTCTGGATTTAGCCAGGAATGCAACAAATTGGTTTTCAGGAATGTGGGGTTTAGCTTTTCAGAAAACTGCATTCCAGGTAGGAATATGCAGAGGCCTCAACCAGAGTGTTCTGTGATACCTGGAGGTGGGTTGAATTGTCTGAGGATCCCTTCAGCAACACCATTGATCTGTGGTTCAATGTAGGTCCTTCGTCTCACAAGTTGAATACTCCAATTTCCTATCCATGAGATGAAAGAAAAAGAATCATTGATCCTCTGTGTAACAGAGTCCTTGTGTCATCTGTCTCATTTTGTGAGGAAAATAGACTGAGTTCCTGCATTTAGTTTCTTTCAAGAATTCAGTATTTGGCCAATACGTATGATTTTGTTTTTCAAAACAAAAATCAGCAAGAACAATATGCTTTTGCCGATATGGAGTTTTAATTTTGTTTTAAAAACTCAAAATCATACATATTGCCAAACACCCACTAAATAGGTTGTCAGTTGCCTATTCGAGATGAGAATCATCGTGTTAGCAAAAGGCCAAAAGCTAAAAAGTAAGAGTTTGCTATGATATCCAATCTATTATTTCCTATTTGGGTCTCTCTCTCTCTAGTGGTCTTTTGCTTTAAGCATCTAAATACACCTTTGAATTCCAAAAATACCTCTTTGATTTTCACAGGTGGTCTTCCCTCCAAACATATTTTAGCACAAAATTAAGAAGTTACTTGGATAACATTGCCTTTGACAATTTGCCATTTTTTTTTTTGTAAATAAAGATTATCATTCAAACTGAAAAGGATACTTTAATTGTCCCTTACATGAAATATAAGCAAAAAGATGGGCCATACGATTGTCCTGTCTATAGATATGCATCAAATATATAGATTCTGATTAGTCTTTTAAGGTGATTTCTATGCAACTGTTCCGTCCGAGTAGATATTGTTCCATTCGTCGCAAGGTCAATCAAAGTTTTGTTGTCAGAAAATACCCATAAATCTCTGATATCATTTGCTCGGGCTTCCCTTAATCCTCCTAATAGCACTCTTATTTCAGCATCGTAACTGTTGATCGCCCAACAGGGAGCGCCTTTTGCAATGGTAAGTCGCTTGCCGGGAAATTGGAAGACGAACCCTCGTCCTGTATGACCTGTATTTGGATCAAAAGAGCCATCAATAAAAAGTGTTGGAACATTATTTCTAGGAAAGCAGCTCAGACTATCTTGAAGTTGTGATCGATTTGGGGTCTCTTCTAGAGTAAATTGGAGAGATGAATTGATCACTTGCTTTGGATCCTGCTCAACATTGTCAAATATACGTTTATTTCGTGCCTTCCATATGTGGTAACCAATAATGCTGAAGTAGCATAGACTTCGAACCGCCTGTGATTTAACATGGTGTGTATTTAAGTTTTAGAACCAATCCTTAATGGTGACATGTATGGGCTGGTTTTGAATGTGTGCTGGGTTTAAACCAATTTGGGCTTCACACCAGATTGCACGAGCGAAGGTACATTGGAAAAATAAGTGGTGTACTGTTTCTTCATGGAGGCTGCAGAAGGTGCAAGTCCTCTCTATCTCCCTTAGCCAAGCTGCACATTTACTTTTAGTGAGCAAGCCATCCCACAACAATTTCCAGAGAAATACCTGGAATCTATGAGGAACGTTGAGTTTCTAGAGAAGCTTCCAATCAAAGAAGGCATTTGAAGGGGAACCCTCTAATGAGCTAAGATGCTGATAGGCTGACTTTATGGAGAAGATACATGTGGCATTGTGCTTCCAAATTAGAAAATTTGAAGAGAGACTTGGTTCTGGATTGATGTGAGGGATGTGTCGGATAGTGTGATCATGAAAGAATTGGTGTAGCTTTGACATATCCCATGATCCATCAATGTTTATCAAGTTTGAAACCTTCAGGTTTCGTGATTGAGCCTCGCTTACTAATTCCTTCAGATGCGGAATGTGACCTGGTAGCATGGGAATCCATGGATTTGCCACTACTGAAATGGAGCTTCCATCTTTAACAGCCCACAACAGATTTGGTTGAAATTTACTGACCAGTTGGTGGCTTGCTGCCACCATGGGGAGCTATGGTGACCTTCTTTGATAGCAAAGAGAGAGGAGTGTGGGAAGTATTTAGCTTTGACTTGCATGCTCCAAATCCCATTAGAGTTTGTTAGCAGCCTCCAAACTTGCTTACTAAACATGGCTTTGTTTATGACTATGAAGGATTTGAATCCCAAACTAGCTTGCATCTTTGGACGACAGATCTTATTCCAGGAGACCGTGTGTTTTGGATTTTTTTTTGAGTTACCCCACCAAAATGTACTAGTCATCTTATCAATCTGAGAGCCTACAACTTGGGGGAGACATAGAATAAATCGGGATGGATTGCAGCACTGATTTGACTAGGGTGGTTCTTCCTGCTTTTGATAAAAGTTTGGAGATGAAAGGTGGCGGGAATTTAAACCAACTTGGGTGCCTAGGTACTTCGTGCCAACCAGTGATTTGTTAATGTGCAACATACGAGAGAAAATCCTTCAGTGCGACGGGGAACATTTCTACTAAAAAATATGTTGGACTTGGCATGATTATCTTTTGTCAGAACATAACTTCGAAGGATTTTAGTAACTGACAAGGGACTTAACTTGCTTTGCAGAAAAGGATACAAGCATCAGCAAAAAGGAGATGGGTAATGGGTGAGCTATTACGACTAATCTGTACTCCTTCCAGTTGTCCCACTGATGAGGCTATGTTTAGTAGTTGAGAAAGGACTTCCATGCCTAGATAGGGTCACCTTGTCTTACTCCCCGTTTCAACTTGAAGTGTGATCATGTGACTCACCGGCTAATTTGATGGAGTAGGATGCAGGGGACATGCACTGGTATAACATATTACACCATTTTTCTCGGAAATTCATCTTTTTAAGCACATGATACAAAAAGGACCAGCCCATACGATCAAATGCCTTTGACAAGTTTAGTTTGATAGCAATATATCTTTTGCCTCTTTATTGGGACTTCATCTCCTTTACTAACAGAATGTTATCTGAGATTTGTTTACCTTTGAGAAATCCCAATTGGTAAGGAGATATTATCTCCTGAAGTATAGGTTGTAGTCTTGCTACCATCCACTTCGTTATAATGATGGGGCGGTAACTTGATGTGTCTATTGGTTTATTATTCTTGGGAACAAAAACCAAATTGGTATTGTTATTTCTTTTGGTAGGGATTCTATATTAAAGATTTTGAGTACAGCTGCGTGAATGTCTTGTTCAATCAGTTCCCAGTAATATTGATAGAAGAGAGGGGTGAAACCATCGGGTTAAGTTGCTTGACCACACCGGTTAACTCTTCGAGAGTAGGGGAGCCAGCAGGGAGTCCTGATGATGTATAGAAAGGGTTGGTTAGGGGAATGTTGTTTAGAAGTTCAGGGTCAAAGTCTTCTTGCTGCCCTCCCACCTCTAAAAGTGTACGCTTAAATAATTGAATTGGACTATATGTGTACGACTTGAGGTTCAAGACCCATCATCACATTTCAACCATCCGATATTGTTTTTGGCATTTTTGAAATTTGCCTTATGGTGAAAGAATTTAGTTTTTCTGTCACCTTCTTTGACACACAATTCTCTTTACTTTACTCTCCAGAGTTGTTCTTCTTTCAAGAGCCAATAGTTATATTGCTTTTAACAATGACTGAAGCTGAGATTTGCATCATTTGGGACCCTCATATGCATGGCTGAGATTTGCTCGGCTATGTTTCGAATATGATCCTAAACTAAGCCAAAATGACTTTTATTCCATTGTTTGAGGGCAATTTTGCAAGTTTTGAGCTTGCTGATGAATTGATGAGCAGGGGAGCCATGAATGGGTTGATTCCAAGAGTTAGAGATAATTTGCTTACAAGCGGGGTGTTCTACCCAGAAGGGTAGAAAATGAAATTGTGGTTTCCTACATGGGGTAGATGGTGAGGTGTTTAAGACAATAGCTCCATGATCCGAGGTGGTTATTGGTATTTGGAAATAATTGACACCATGAGGGGGTAGCTAGGGCCCGGTCCAGCCTTTCAAGCCCTTTTGATAACAAAGTCGAAGTCAATTAGGCCAAATTTGTGTACAAAATTGTTCAAGTGTTTAGAAAGGTAAGGTTTGCTGTTTCTGAAGGATTTGTGATCATCCATTTTATATACATCGTTGAGGTCTCCTATGAGAAGGCAAGGTAAGTTGGTGAGCTCTTGTGATTGTGTGAGGTGAAGCTAGATGTTGGGTAGGGTGGCCATAGAATAGTAATAATTGGCAAGGATTGTTGGGTGGGTGGTTCGAGACTTGGAGACGGATCAAATGGATACTGACGACCTAAAGGATGTCAACTGAAATTGAATCCAACCAACCACAGAGGAGACCACCAGAGAACCCTGATGCTTCACGGAAAATAAAATTTATTACATTTTAGTTTCTTTGCCAACGAATAAATTTTTAGCCCACCTAGTTTGGTCTCTATTAGGAACAACGAATCCGACTTTTCTTGTTTGACTAGCTTTTTTAGCTCACGAATTTTTTGTTATCACTGGCTCCTCTAATGTTCCAAGAAATGAACTTCATAGTATTAAACAACAATGCTGAGAGGGATAAGATTAGGAATAGTGCTGTGTAAAAAATAAGAAGGAAAGTGAGGCGTACCTAATGGAGCAAGGGAGTTGGAGATAACAATGATAGGTTGTTATAATTGTCGGTGATGAACTGGTCACCGCCACAGAGAGACATCGGGGACGTGGATACAACAACATCAGTTGTGCTCAATAAACCTAGATTTGATGAGTGGCTTTCTCTTTGTGGGGTTATAGGTATTGAGCAATGCGGCTGAGGTTGAGGTGGAGTTGGCAGTGTCGTCGTGGTTTTGGTTAACAACATCTCAGGAAGTCGGAAACTTGACAATTGCGAACCGCCCAAGGAGTGTTAGTTGGCAAATCCAAATGATAACTTTTGGATCTGCCACGTCTTCTTTTCCCTATGAGAAGATCAATGGTTCCCAAACCACCAGTTTTGGTGAAATAGTGGGCAGTGATTTCTGGTTTCGCGATAATATATTCTGATACTAATATTAGATAATACTATTCTATAATATATTATTTTACAAGCTAAGATTGTGTGGGACATTCATGATCCAAGGCAAATTGTCAAAAGTAAGCGACCTAGCGTCTGTATCATCTTCTTCCTTTACGACCAAATGCAGGCAAGTGAGCGTCAACTTAGCATCTGTAACATCTTCTTTCAGCGGTAAGCTTCTCCCCTAACCCTTCCCTACACCCATGCATACCCTTCTCCGAACCTAAGCTTCACACCACCCTCTTACTTCTTCTACTACAAACTCCTTACCTCCCATTTGTCTTCTACCCACCATCAATATTGTTACCCCTTCCATTTGTCTTCTAGCTTAAAAAAGATTCCCCTTTCCTTCTAGTCTCTCTGTTTCCCTGTACCATTTCTTGAACCCATGTCCCCACAGGGATCCCATTGGGGCGTGGATACAACCATCTTCTTCACGTGAGGTCTTGCTTTTATTGAGGATGACATCAAAAGGTAAAGAAGTCGCCAGCATGCCAGTTATTGCACATGACACAAAAGATATAGAATCCTTCTTTGCACATACAGTTAATGTAGGGGTAGATGAACAACCCCCCAGTTTTGAACATCGAGGAGGTGTGGAGCATGTTATTGGGTTGATGTTAAAAGGACGCATCTTTCTGCGTCAACAAGTTAATGAGGAGACTCTGGCCAACTATGTTCGTTTACAGTGGAAAACATCGGGAGTAGTGACCATTCGTTTATTGGAAGGAGGCAACCTCGAATTTTCATTTATAAATTATAGCGACCATCTTATTGCATTAGAGGGAGGACCCTGGTTTTTTTCGTTCGAGCTGGATCCTTCTAGAAGAATGGAGCGACTCACAGACAGGAACAGTTGAAAAGGCAAATCCATATGATTCCCAAAGGTACGGGTGAAGATGGTAGGGTTTGTTTTCTTGCTAGTATGGCTCCGTTTTTGTTATGAGCAGCTCCCCGGGATCTGTGCTAACTGTGGACTAATAAGACATGTTTGGAGTAATTGCAAATGGCTAGACCATTCTATATCGGACTACAAGAGTTTTCTTGAAGGCCATAGCCATACAATAGATTATCTTGGAGAATAGCTCAGAGCTGAATTTCGGCCTAAAAGCCAACTCAACTTGCCGGCATACTCACCAGTCAGATCAAATTCTCTAGGAGTTTGCAAAGTTCGCCACAGCGAGCAAGGTTCAGATAAAGATTCTGAGGATGGGTCCAGTGGCCATAAACACCCTTGTGTCGAGCATAATTGTGATATGCTTGTAGTAGTTTCTGGCAGGTCACCATCGCCGATGTAGCCAGACTTCGGTGAAGGGCAACAGTGTTAGAACATTGACCATTCACAACAGACACTTGGCAAGTTAGAACTTACTGGAGCCTTGCATGATAGCCACCCTTGCAAACAAAAGATGCCACGTTCTACTAATGCATGCCCCATGCAATGTACACCACCATCATGAGAATAGCTCGACAAGTTAGTTGCATGTGCAACAGCTACACACCGTTCAGTCTGACTCAGTCCAATATAAACCCATTACAAATGGACCAGGTCCTATCCAATCTAATAAATATATTGGACCATTAAGTCTGAACAGGTCTAATTCAATTTGTCTAATTGGTTTGTCCAATCTGTTCAAATTGATTTGATTTGGATGTAGCCCAATCCGAACATTGTCCATTGGCACCCCTAACCACAATTATGTTTTGGTATTTCTATTTTCATTTCTATATAAATTAATCCCTTCATCCCTTATTTTCTAAGTAATTAGAGACCAAGGGTTTTAAAATCAAACCGGGCAGGGAACCATTCTAGGGTCTGGTTCCTGGGTTGAACAGTTCAACCGTTCAGTCTGAATGGACAGCGCACACTGACAAAAAAAATCAAAAAATAAAAAAAAGGAGAAAAAACTGTTGTCTGGGTTGATGGTTTAATTTGACCTCTGGTCAGTGGTTTGTTAACCAAATCAGTGTTAACCAAAACAGTTTTGGGGCAAAATAGAACTAATCACCTAACCGATTCTCAGTTTTTCCGAACCATCCGTCCAATCCGATCCAATTTTGAAAACCCTGTTAGAAACTATTATGTTCAGATAGCTTAAATATTATTTGAATTTTCATTGTTTTTTTGCTTTTAAATCCTTCTCGTTCATTATAGGTTGACAGGTTGTTTCATGATTAGTTTACYAGCTGCATTTAATTTTTCATTTATTCCTAGAATTTTATATATCCACCTTCAATTAACTTTGATTATGACATTTTGTACGTAGAATTGCATACCCTAGTCAAGGTAGTTGATCTAGTTGAATATATCATACATTCTAGTGTTCTACACAACATCTTAAAGAATGACCCGGAAATGGAATCGTTCTAGCCATAGGTTTCTGGGTCAACGGTTCAACCATCCTGTCATCTAGTTCAAATGGATGGTTCGTTCTAACAAACAAATTAAAAATAAATAAAAACGGTAATTCGATCACCCAAGTCAATAGGTTGTTGTCTTTTTCAATGGTTTTTTGCTAAAAACCGGTTTTTGGGCAAAACAGAACTGGTTGCTTGGATGGTTCCTGGGCCGAACAATCGATTGCCCGAATCAATGGCGGTTAGAAAACCTTGGTTCTACATAGTGGTAATTGTTTATAAATTATAACACAAAACAGGGTAATTGGGTAAATTACTTAAAACTTCACCGGATTATGTAACAATTATTTCAACATCCCTTTTGACCTTTGCAAAACCTCCCTTTATCTTTCAAGTAAATACGCAAGCATACTCCTTTTATTAAATTTCATGTAAGAGAGATGTTACAATTACCACTATGCCCTTATGACCAACAAGATAGAAAAAGTATGCATTTCAAAACATATAAAATAATTAATTTAATAAAAATAAAAATGTAAATAAAATTGTTAATTTAATAAAACTAATTATTGTGCTATTAATAAAATATCAATGACAAATAATAAAATTAGTCAAAATATTCACTAAAATGAATAAATCAAGTAATAAAATCAAAAGGTGTTATCAATAAAATTCTCAGAGGTAAAATTGGGTTAAAAAGATTTTGAGGGTAATCTACTAAATCTTCATCTCAATAAAACTCCTCATGGGTAAAATTGAGATTTTAAAAAGTTTAAAGCACTATGTCAACWTTATCCATTATTTTACATTAGGGAATTTAACAAAGGGGTGTGTTTGCATACTTATTTGAAAGGTCAAGGGAGGTTTTTGCAAGGGTTAAAACAAATAAGAGGCTTAAGTAATTTACAGTTTTTCACCCTGCAAAAAGCCACAAAACTGTACTTACAAGATGGGCGGTGCGATTTGAATTCCATTAGACTTGATTAGTTATTCCAATCGCCTTAAAATGYATAGGCCACGTGTCAGAAGAAGAAGTAGAGAGGTGTTAAAATGGGCGGTGCGAGAACCCGGGCTGTTACCACGTGCGTGGTGAGACCATCATCATTTAAGCACYAGAATGTCAACCATTGGATTCGAAGAACGAGAATATCAACCATTGGATTCGGGGATAGGAATGATTCCATGTATCTCTTATAAATAAATTGGATAAGCCGAAACTGTTACCATCAATCATCATAAGCCGAAACTGGGGAGTGCGTTGTACGCACTCGTCGTTACTTTAGACTTTAGAAGCTTGAGAAGGTGGAAGTGAAGGAAGAAAACATACATAAATGTGATTTTGTTGGTGGCCGTTGTCAACGTCTCGTCTCATGGAACTCTTTTTATTCTCTGTTCTTGATTTTTCTGCTTGGGCCCTTTGCTAATCTCCACACTGTTTCTTCCTTTCTCTCTCTTTCTCTCTCACGCACACTCTATTCTTCCGAGAAGACACACACCTCGATCGTCTCTGAGTTGTCTGGATTTATAGTATAAGATCCGTTTGTTTTTTTCTTGTTGTCGGGAAATCAAAACGAAATGTCGGGTTTCTGATCATGGTTTTGGGCGCCGTCTTCCTACGAGCGGTGGTGTTTTGTCGATTTCTGAACCTCGAAAGAGCCTTTCCGGTGCACCGCCGAATCATGCAAGGTGGGATCGTCGATTTTCCCGTCGAGAGTGCTTACAATCCTTACACMGTCGGGTAATTTTTTCTTTCTTTATTTTTTTGCTCCTTGGTTGATTTTAAGCTCTGGGTTCAATTGAGGATGGCATTTGGCTTCGGGGTTTTGTTTGTGTTCTTTTACCTACTCGTTTTATAATATATATTGATGGGTTCTTGATATTCTTTGTTTCTTTACTGTTTTCCTTTTCTTTGTTTAATGGTTCTGGATTAGATGATTCTTGATGTTCTGACGTTCTTTCGTTTGTAAATTGACAGTTATGTGGGTCTATACCCTTCTTTCTCTTT